TCCCCTCCAGCAGATCAACACTCCCACCCAGTTTGGTGTCATCTGCAAACTAACTCAGGGTGCACTCAATCCCCTCTTCCAGGTCATTGATAAAGATAATAAACAAGACCGGCCCTAGAACTGAGCCCTGGATTCAACTCCATTCACCACAACTCTCTGGCTTGGCCATCCAGCCAGTTTTTTACACTGAAAGCACAGGCTCCTTCCCTTTCAGGTAGCCCTTGCTTTGACAAGACAAAAAAGGTCAGTGGCAACCCGTGTCCCCTGCTCTCCTCTCCAGGAGATCCTGAGATATCTGCAGCCCCTCCACACCATCCCCTCTCCCCAGGACAGCACAAAAGTCCCACCCTTGGGGCTCCCCTGGCTTCTCCTGCTGCCCCAGAGACAGAGAAGCCTGTCCCAAGCTCGTACAGCCAGGACATTCATGCCTGCCCTGCTGAAGACAGATCTTGGAAAAAGAAGATGCTGCTGGTTCATTTATTTTACTTAAATACACCCCTCATTTACACAAACCCTCTGGGTCACACAGGATGGGTGGACACTTAAGAAGGAAGGGATGAATAACAACGTTTCCTTGCAGACAACATCATCACAAGTGGAAAAAGAAAATAAAAACAAAAACCATAAACCAAATAAGGAAAGAAAGTCTTGGGCTGTCATGACGTACACTGGGAGTCACTTGCAGAGGAAGGGACAGAGTCTCTGGCTGCTGAAAAATATCTACGCAGTTTCTTCAGGGTATCTTTGAGCTCCTGGTTCCTCATGCTGTAGATGAGGGGGTTCACTATCGGAGGCAGAACCGAGTACAGAACTGCCATCAAAAGATCCAGGGATGGGGAGGAGATGGAGGGGGGCTTCAGGTAGGCAAACATGCCAGGGTGAGGAAGGCACATGGAAAAGGCTTTGTGCCGTCCCTGCTCAGATGGGATCCTCAACACAGCCCTGAAGATCTGCACATAGGACAGCACAATGAACACAAAACATCCAAGAATCACAAAGACACTGACAACAATAACCCCAACCTCCCTGAGGTAGGCATCTGAGCAGGCGAGCTTGAGGATCTGGGGGATTTCACAGAAGAACTGGTCCACTGCATTGCCATGGCAGAGAGGTATGGAAAATGTAGTAGTTGTGTGCAGGAGAGCATAGAGGAACCCCCTGCCCCAGGCAGCTGCTGCCATGTGGACACAAGCTCTGCTGCCCAGGAGGGTCCCGTAGTGCAGGGGTTTGCAGATGGCAATGTAGCGGTCATAGGCCATGACGGTGAGAAGACAATACTCGGCTACAACTAAGAAGAAAAACCAAAAGACTTGAGATGCACATCCAAAGAAGGAGATGGCCCTGGTGTCCAACAGGGAGTTGACCATGGATTTGGGGAGAATAGTAGAGATGGAGCCCAGGTCGAGGAGGGAGAGATTTAATAGGAAGAAGTACATGGGAGTGTGAAGGTGCTGGTCGCAGGCTACAGCAGTGATGATGAGGCCGTTGCCCAAGAGGGCAGCCAGGTAGATGCCCAGGAAGAGCCAGAAGTGCAAGAGCTGCAGCTCCCGCGTGTCTGTGAATGCCAGGAGGACAAACTGGGTCTGCTGTTGGACATTTTCTCTCTTGAGCCATGAGGACCTGTCCAAGGATGAGAGATCACTGACAGCCTAGGACAAACATCTTGAAAGAAAACTCAATGTTTCTCACAGAAATGCTTCAATCATCTTATTTTTGGGGACTACTTTCATTCAGCTCCGTTTCTAGAGCTCCTTTGCTTATTGCATGTGCAGTGAAGAGCATGGTCTCTGCTGTGGGGTCTAGAAGAAACGGTCCTGCTCTACAGTTGAGCTGGGTGAGGATTAAGCTTTCCTATTCACAGTTTAGGTCAGATGATGGGATTGTTCTTTGTGGGCAAAATTGCTCAGCATTTTCATTGCACTCAGACTGTACTTGGGGAGAGGCAAAAGGATTGGCCACAGCTTAGTGCCCAGTGAGGGCACGTGGTCTGACCGTCAGCCTTTTCCATGGCTTCTTTTCTGCTTGCACCTCCTTGACCAGGAGCATGCTCGCGCTTGCATATTATCCCCCAAGAGAAACAGGGGGGAGTGGAGAAAAGGGAACTCACTCATGGAGTGCAGATCTGGATGACAGGACCCACAGGGTCAGTGTCTGAGCAGCAGCTGAACCCCACTCCCCAGTCAGCTGAGGGGAAGAACAAGGGAAGCATGGACAAGAGGGGAAGGAAACAAGGAGCATCAACAGGATTCTGTGCAAAGGGATGCAAGGTCATGGAGAGAGTAGAGAGATGATGCTGGAGCTCCCTGTAATCTGAAGCAGAGGGAAGCTGGCATTCATGATGCTTCTCTGAGACTTTTCCACCTGTCAGCAGAACAGGTGAAATGTCTCAGAACCTCATCCAAACCTGAAAGATGAATTTTAATTTGTCATTCATCACCCAGCCAATCAAGAGTAGAAAACTCAAAGCTCAGACTCTTTCACTTTAAAGTAAGCCTCACCTTGACCTTTCCCTTGAAAAATGCTCTTGGAAATGTGCTGGGGGTGATCTGGAGCTGTGAGCAGCCCTGATCCATGAAGCACCCTCTTGACAGCAGGAGGACCCTGCCCTGTCCTTCAGGGCATTGCTCCTTCCACCCACAGCTTCTCCCCAAAGTGCTGTGG